AAATATGAGCTCTAGCAATTCTATTGCTAGAAACATATCCTAAAGAATTACATAAACATAAGTATATTCTCTACGGCATTGCTTGTGATAGCATAAAGCTAGAAACATTCTAAATGTCCAGTTAGAGGGGAATATTAGATAAATTACGATACATTCATAGAGAGGATTACTACCATACTGACTACCTATCATTGTGTAGCAAAATTACCTCAGAACCTAGCAGCTTAATACAAAAATACACATTTAGTGTTTTTACCGTATCTGCACACCGGGTATCTGGGAGTGGGGCGGACGAGCAGTTCTGGTTCAGCATCTCTCGTGAGGCTGTAATCATCTGACAGCTGACCTGAGCTGGCAGATCTTCCTCCTGGGTGGCTCACTCACATGGATGGCTGATTGTTGGCTAGAGGCCAGTTGCTGCCCACATGGCCATCTCCACAGGCTTTTTGAGTGTCCTCCCAACATGGTGGCTGGCTCCTCCCCGTAAGTGAGCAATCCAGGAGATTGCTGGGATGTCTTTTATGACCTGGCCTCAGAAGTCCCACAATGCCACTTCCATGGGATTCTGTGGCTCACACAGAACAGCGAGGACTCCGTGAGAGGGCAGTGTAGAAATACCAAGCAGCAAGGATCATTTAAACTGAAACTTAAAGGCTGAATAGTAGTTAAGTCAGGCAAGGAGACAACTTATAAAAACTTGGAAATTTATGAATAGAAAGCAGAGACGAGGCTAGAGAATAAAAGGAGCCTGATTCATGGCTGTACTTCCAAGCTCTGTTAAGGAGTTTGATTTTTATATAAAGCCAGTAAGCCACCAAAAGATTTGTATTTTAGTAAGATCACTCTGGTTATTGAGGATATATGGGTTACACAATAGGGAGGAATCAAGTTTGGCTCTTAGGTTATTGACTTGACCAATTAGGTAAATGAGGCACGTGGGATAAAAAGTAGGTTTAGGGACTAGAAAAGGTTAATTTTTAACCAGTTTGAGGTGAGGTGCTTTGCACACATGGAAATTTCCAATGGCAGTGGATATATGGGACCTGGAGTTCAGGAGATTTGCCTGGACATAAAAACTTATGAGTCCTCAGAATGTCACTGAAACATGGAGCCAGAAGACAGAGAATCATTGATTTTATAAAGGAAGAGGAACTTACAAGAGACTGGAAAGGAATGCCAGGAAGGTAGACAGAGGAGGAATACCAAGAGTCTGTTGTCACAGAAGACAGGAGTGATTCAGTGTTCATAATAATAAGCCAAACAATTTAAAACTGAACATTGCACATCAAATAGGAGAAAGCCAACAGAGAAGGAGACCTTTCCCTTGGTCCAAGGCAAGATGCTTTCATGGGAAGGAGTGAAAATCATTAATGACTTCTGGTGCAATGTTTCTCAAAGTGTAATGTACATACAAATAACCTGGGGATTGTATTAAAATGCAGGTTCTGGCTCAGTAGGTCTTGGGGGAGCCTACAATCCAGCATTTCTAAGAGGGTCACTGCTAATCTACAGACCACATTTTGAGTAGCAAAGCCCTGCGATGGCTTTCAAACTTTACTGAACAGAGACTCATATGGAAAACTTCTTAAAACAGATTATTGGTCCCTGATTCCTACAGATTATGACTCAGTAGGTTTAGGTAGGACATGATAATTTCCAACAAGTTTCCTGGTGATGGTGACAATGATGCTGCAGGTTCCCAGACCACACTTTTGAGTTGCACTTTTCCAGCACAGCTTAACGAGTGCTGGCATCAACAGAGGAAAAGCCAGAGTCCACCAGGTTTCAAAACACAGTGCAAACAGGAAGTATTCTTATCTACCTCTGCAGTCACAGTTCATGACCAGCGTAGGCAAAGGTGTACCACCCATCACCCCCAGGGTTGCTGTATCAGAATTAAGGACTCATTCTTAATAACTTATTTATTCCCAAGACTTACTCTCAGCAGTGGATGCCTCTTCCTCTCAAAGCTTTATCTTGCTTAGTAAAGCCATTTCATATTAAAACAAGCAGCTGCTAACAAGTATTATTTACTTTACTGAAGGGATGCATGTTTCACAACAGACTCATTTTCCCCCAGAGGGAGACAATTTAAGAAAAAAACCCTACAAAATAGTAAGGAGTGGGGGACCTATCTAAGGAGGAATCAATTCACATATGTATTTATTAAGAACATAAATGTATTTTATGTAAGGCATCTTAAGGTGAAAGAAAAAGATGATAAATAAACAATCCCTGTTCTCAAGTCCATAACATGAAATAAAGAAGACACCAACAATCATGTTGAAACATGACAAATGCCATCTGAAAAAACAGCTGACATTTATTTTTATTAAAACCACCCAGCAGATACCTCAACCCATTCGCACAGAATGTGTGTTTGTTATTAATACCAACAGACA